TACTCTGATCAATTCCACAAAACTATCTCTCTTCTCCATTCCCACACTTGCCCCCCACCCACCCAGCCAAGTTTCCCGCTATGATTTTTCTTTTCTGAATTCATTTTCCGGTGCTGCACACCAGAAGGGCGAAATGTTGGGCAAGTTTTCTTACTCCACACGCCTCTGTGTAATAATTCTGTCAAAAAAATAAATAAATTGGTAACTTCAATCCACGACTGTTTGTGGGACACTGCTGTACACAATTGGCTGCGCGTTTTGCCGACAAAATATACAGTCAATTTACTTTACAGTATATTCTGTGAAGCGCTTTGAGACGTCTCGAAGACGTGATAAAGCACTATATCAAATGCAAGGATTATTATTATTATTATTCCTCAGCTGAATAGCTTTGAAGAGGATTTGACTTCCCAGTCTTCTGTCAGGAACAAGCTGTAAACACCTGTCTCCTTCTGATTAATCAAGCTGAAGATTTGTGCACCTTTCATAACACCAGTTCAAAAGGAGATCTCACATTTGAGCTTAGTGTAGTGTAGCTGAAGTTCAATATGCAATGGTGCAATGTGCTCTTGAGACTAGTGCGGGACATTGCTGTGTGCAAATTGGCTGCAGTGTTTGCCTACAAATACAGTCACTACACTTTGCAGTAAACCCTCTACTTTATAGTATACCCTATTAAAAGCACTTTGAGATGTCCTCCTAATGTGAAAAGCGTTAAATCAAATGTAAGGATTATTATTATTACATCCTCAACCCTGATAAAAAGTCTTTCCATCTTATATAATATAGTTCTACTAACAGATTGAAAAGTGTATCCATCAAATTTACTTTATTAACTGATAATGGGGTTGACTGCTCTTATGATGTTATGTAGATTGATTATCAGATGACTTGAGCACTGTATTACTTATATTAATGTGGTATGTTTATTAATCAAAATCAAAGAATTTAGAAATCACTAAAAATAGACCTTTTACATTGTCAAGCATTTTAAGGGTAAATATTTTAACTTCATTATTTTACGGCTAAAAATGCTAATTTATCCTATGAATTAGCATTTATCAAATGGTAATTTCTCTGATTTTCTATGAATTAGTTAAAATTAACACTTCAAACTTGCATAAAATGCATATTAAACTGTTTGTTTTAATCCCCATGCTGTCAACATTGGCCTTTTTATCTTTTAAGAAGTTTGTGTGTTTTGTGTTTTTAGGAACAAAATTCCTTTAGAAATGTAAATTTATCTTGCAAAAATTAAAGAGAATTTGAGGTCAGTACAGGGACCTTTTAAAATTTATACATAACAAATAAGATAAAATTCCTGCTTCAGAATTGAACCTATAATAGGGGGAAAAAATCAGTGTTCGTTTACATGAATTTTAGTGATTTACTTGGGTTAAATTACAATTAGAATGAATGCTAATGTTACACAATTAACATAAATTCTATTTACAATATATTTTTATTTTGAGGTGTATAGGAATTTTCTTATATAATTCTCTGTTATTTGCGTATTATTACAATTAATTGTGTATTAATGTTACAGTATTATTGTCTCATTAAGACCAAAATAACTAAGAAACGTCCACCAATATGATCCTTCCACAGATCATAAAAAATCTACCCAATTGCTGACGCCATCACACCCACTGAATCTCCTTGGTGGTGGGAGGGGGGGGACATTCTGCATAAATACTCCATTTATAATCAAATAAGAACCCAGAATATTTATTCTTTCTTTGCATCTTTACAATTAAATCCTGAACCTTCTTCTCCACATAAAATATTCATTGACTGCACCTCCCACTTTCCCCTCCTGCACAGAAATCAGTGTGGTCCTCGATCTTGTGGCATAGAGAATTAAAGTACTGCTTGGTTCAGCACTGGATCATTCAATAATAATAATAATCCTTTGATATAGAGCTTTTCACGTCTTCTAAACCTCTCAAAGCGCTTCACAGAATATGCTGTAAAATGATTTGACTGTATATTTGTGGGCGAAACGCGGCAGCCAGTTGCGCACAGCAGTGTCCCACAAACAGTCGTGGATTGAAAATGACCAAATTATTATTGTTTTGTTTCAAATCCTTATCTCAGTCAAGGAAGAAATGGGGGTTGCAATTTGTATCATGGTTCCCGCACCCGATTGCTGTCCCCCTCTCCCACCCACCCACCCCCTTTTGCAGGAAAGTGCGCTTATGTGGTTGGGACCAGACTTGACTGTGATGCTCTCTGTCAGCAATCACTGTCAAGACCGACACCATGAATAATGGGTACTTGGTTGAAGTAACAGAGGGAAGCTTGCACCTATGAAGCTGTACACAGCAGAAAGAAAAAATAAGAATCAATACAACTTCAGGAGGGAAAAATTGGAAAAGAAAAACTGGCAAGGAAACAATAAGCCATTGAGCACTATGAAATATTTGTTCATATCATTCTGAACCTATCACTATAGCTTCTAATAGCATTTCCAAGCTAATTCTTAAACAGTTCTTTTATTAAAGGAACGTAGTGAACATTGCAGCAATCCTGGTTAATAGGGTTAATTCTCCTAGATACTGATGCCAAATGCTAGTCTGAACAGGATGGTTTATAGAAAGTCTCAGCCAGTAATAAACAATAGAAGACTTATCCTCTTTTTAGTTCAGGGTGAGATAGGATAAGCTCAAGGTAGAAATGGAGTTATTAGATAAGTGTGTCACACCTCCTTTCAAATTCTCACGCATGAAATGAGTTTCCAGAGATAAGCTACACTTTCAAGGTAATTCTTTTGTATTTTGAAAGAAGCAATTGGCATAAAATAATTTCTTTTCAATAGAATTGGTCAGTTTTCCTAAGGTAATGCTTGATTACAGTAGCTTAAGTTACATTTCATTTCTATAAATAAAGCCAAGTCAAAGATATCAACCATTCAACAGTGCTACATGATGGGCAAACATTGAGATCTTCAACACGAGTTGCTTAGCTTTGGTAGTGCTGTACGTGCCAGAACTAGTAAAACAACACTGCTAACAAATTGAATAAGAAATCATGGATAGCCAACCAAACATGGACAGAGTCCTGAAATTGACACCCACTGAGGGAGAGAAATTGACATGTTTACCCAGCTATCTTGATCAGATGGGTATGTTATTTTAATGACGTAAAATTATAGATTTAATGCGGTAAGCACATAATTACAATGTGACTTCATGGACTGCATTAGGTAGTCTTCCCAAATATGTACATGACTGTAGCATCTTGAATTAGGTGTTTACGTTGATATCATATGTTAATTGATTCAAGTAGCGTTTTGAAGCCTTGTTCATTGCTCTGTAGCATTCGAAACTGACTGAGGTAATCTTAAATTAAACCTAACTGATGCTTTGATATTATAATCCAGAAATTATTATGTATTATTGCTGATATTATGTTAATGTTCATATTATCAATCATGTTATTTGTGCAAGTATGTATATTTTTAAATAAAGTAGAGATTGAACGGGTCCTGTGGAGTCCCTTGATAATTCTCCTCTGAGATGTGAGCTAAGGGTTAAATGGTGTTCTTCATTGGTGCTGACACTTTATCTGCAGCTGTGATTGCTTTCTGAGTCAGGCTGTGTGGGATGATTCAGGCAAGCCACAGTTAGATATCAGATCCATCGCTAAACAAAAAACTCGATTCAATACTGAGGCCTCAGATATCAAGTTCTCTTTCATAACGAGGATTCAAGAGATCACCCCCACAAGAGTGGATTTGGGACAATCAGACATTTGAGGATGTGAAATAAATAAGTCTCAACAAATTAAGCAATGAACAGAATGAGCAATAGTCCTCATGGCCTCTCTTGCTGGATTAGTGCATTGACAAATATTGACAAATATTGTAAGAAGAATAAAGGAAAAAAATCTTGTTTTTCAGATTAAAAACTCATTGGGGTCTAAAATGCAGCATTTGCAAACTACTAATTATGACTTCTACTTTGCACCTGAAGTTATAGGTTTCACTAATAAATTCTGTTTAAAAAAAAGAGAAAAAATTGTGATTCTGAACACTAGCAATTTTTGTTTTGCTGTCAATTAATTGCCTTTTTGACTTTCTGAAAGAGAGAGTACAGAGAGAGAGAGAATGACTGACATGGTGCAATACAACAGAAACAGTGTAATGTATGCTGAAACAAGTTTTTAGTATGTATTGCAGTCAATTTATGTTTTCTGTGATGTGTTATTATCCACACCATCTACTTATTCGCAATGGGGCCATTCCCAAATAGTGCAGATATTCAGCTCTTACTGTACAAGACTTTATTCCACAAAGACACAGCCTCTTTAAATATATTAATTTGCACAGATTTATTTAAACATAAATGCTCACTTGAAAATAGTACCTGTATACTTGTTATGCTGCCTTTCGGCTGCATATTTTTGCTTCAATTAACCAGCTGCTATCTTTCAATACAATCATATTTTATTGTGCTCATATAATTAATAATAATTCTTTCATTTCATATAGTGTCTTATCACAACAACAACTTGTACAACATATACAGCATGTATATAGCGCCCCTCACTCAGGGTAGCGTCCCAGAGCACTTGACAGTGATGGAGCACCACACCTAGCCAGGGGAAGGGGCAGGTGATACTGGGCACGGACGAATAGGAAGGTCTTCAGACGCAACCTGAAGATAGGGAAGGAAGGGGCAAGGCAGGGGGATGGAGGAAGATATCCTGACATCCTTGACTTGGCTTTATACAGAGAAATGAAATATAATTTAAGCTACTGTATTCAAACATTACCTTAGGAAAACTGACTAATAGTCTCAAAGGGCTTGACTGAATATGCGGAATAAGTATTAGAGTAACAATTCTTATTAAGAGTTCCCTATTTCACTCCAATAATTTAGTTTTTTTAAAGTTATATTTGTCAAAATTCTACCAGTTTTGAAATGCTGTTCACCCAACTAAGGATTTTGCAAACTAAAGTACATCTTGCATTATAGGATCTTGGTTTCAGGACTCACCTGAGAATTTCAAGGGTCTCAGCTAAGACAATATATTAAGAAGCCCGATCAAAATCTTTCACCATTGCAGAGCAGGGAAGAGAACTGTACAAACAGGTCCAGTAGAATATTTGCTGCAAGAAGGTGGCAGAGCCTGTTGGGTGAAGATAGCAGGAAAAGATTAGTAATTGAAAATCTGAGAGAACTGAACTATTTGGCAGCAAAATAGATCTGTGTTGGGAAACAAAGGAACAGAAAGCTATAAGTGATGGGCAAGCTTAACAGTCAGCCAGTACCATTTCTACTCGACACAGTGGTGGGATTGTGTATTGTATCAAAGGAATGTTATAATAAGAGAAAAAAACACTTGAGAATGCAGTTGAATTGCCAGCACCAGTTGCTGTTATGAGGGAGTTGATACAATCCTTTTCTGTTTCTTTTTTTTGTTCAAAATGGTGTCTGCACAATACTCTACCCCTATTAACATAAAGCTATGTGTATCAGTGCCAGTTGGACATTGAAAACATTACAAGTAAATTAGTGTCATTGTCCTAAACAAGGTGTCCGCTTGGCTCTGTTGGTAGCACTCTAACCTCTGGGTCAGCAGGTTTTGGGTTCAAAACCCGCATCAGGGACTTTTGGCTCATGGTCTAGCCTCATGCTGCAGTGCAGTGTAGGGGGAGTAACTGCATTGTCAGAGGCACTGTCCTTTAGATGAGATGTTAAACCCAGATTCTGACTATTCAGATGTATATTAGAGAACCCATGATGCTTCGTAAAGAGAAACAAATTTATTTTGGTGTCCTGGCCAACAAATATTGCAATGACAAATGGGCCATTCATCTTCTTGTAGCTTATCATGTGTTGCTGTGTGCAAATCGGCTGCCACATTCACCTACAAATGCACATTTAGTACAATAACAGAAATTACTTTGAAATGTTTTGACTTGATAAGGCACAATATCTGATGCAAAGATTATTATTACCTCCCCCACCATCCTGCCTTCTGCCCTCCAACTGGCATAGCACTGAAGTAAATACCAACCCCGAAAAAGTGCAACTTTATTTCCTTTTTATTGATCTCAAGAACCTGTAAAGACAAGAAACTTCCATCCATCATCCAGCCTGTGACTGGTTACTTTTCAAAATTGGTGAACTTCAAACCAAAACAACTCACCAGTAATGCAGAGTCTTTGAGAGCAGGGATTGTAGATGTTGTGTGGAAGAACTGGGTTTGATTCCTTTTCCTCATTCCATGTTTTCTATTGCAGAGATCCCCACCTGATCAGAAGACCGGTGGTTTCAAATACAACCACAACAACACATTACATTTGTATAGTGTCTTTCATGTCAGGAGGATGTTCCAAGGCACTTGACAGTGACGGTTTTGGACCCGAGCTGGGGGTTGGGATCAGGAGAAGTAGAGGGTAAGGGTAGGTGGGGTGACCGAAGGCCAGTCGAAGAGGAGGGTCTTGAAGGGCCTTGAAGGAGGCATGGAAGGAAGTGAGGTGAAGGGATGGTGGGATGGAGTTCCAAAAGGAGTGGGCAGAGAGACTGAAGGCCCGACTGCCGAAGGTGGGGTGAGCCGTGCGGGGGACATAGAGCAGGCTGAAGTTCGCTGAACGGTGGGAGCAGACAGGAACACAAGGGATTTCCTTTCTCCACTCCCACACGCTGGGGTGTGGCAGAGCCCTGACTATAAAACTAAAGCATTTATTTGGTGCAATGGATCCAAGAGCACCAATACACAGATTGAAAGTGGTCTATTTTTAAATGAGTCTTTGGAGATGTCTTTTCCAAACACCGGTTACTGAGTTTGATATTGGCTGTACAGAGGTGAAGAGCGGCTACCTGACATAATGGTATTGATACATGCCATCACGTTTAAGCTACTGTTGTGTTTTATTTCACACAAATTGTTTGATTTAATTTGCATGTGGATTTTATTGTACTTTGGCCGCTATATAATGCTGAATCAGTTCAGTTTGACAAATTGACAAAACCTGACTCTAATCTAGTATCAAACTGAATTTACACTGTGAAACATATTGTTTGAGATCTTGATATCAATGTCTAGGGTATTATGCAATTTAATAGCAGAAGAAATAGTAAGAAATGATCCAAATTATACAAGTCCTAATACTTTGCTCAGGACTTCCCCACTCCTGCTCATTTAAGCAATAAAACGAAACGTCTCTCTGAATTCTAAGACCAACCTGCCTCTGCAATATACAGTTCCATTAGTTACTTGCTTTACTCATTTCCCTGATTTGATTTTTAGCCAACAAAGTCTGGTATTTGATGGATATAAATCATAATGCTGCCATATGCCCCAGATGAAGAATTTCAATGGATTAAATCTACCATTAATCTACACAAGTGCAAATTGAACCTTACAAGTATGATTTATGAGAGTTATATTAATGGCCAACAAGTGTCAGCATGGAATAACTATCAGTTTTATTATTGCTTGCAGATATATTTTGACACAATTTAGCTGTTTTTCATTAGCATCAAACAGTTAGGTGGAATGATTTTTTTTGCCAGGTGCAAATTGTAACACAAACAAGTGCAGCTTTATTTTACAGTAAATGAGTAAACCAGCTATATCCACGCTATATGTTGCAATGAATAGAACAATAACAACTTGCATTTATATACCACCTTCATGTAGCATCTTAGAGCACTTTCTGCTTAAGTATATGTGAATGAATATTGGTTTGGCATTTTATTGCTTTGTGCAGTACTAGGGTCAGGCTAGCTCTATTGCTAACACTGCTACCTCTGTATTGGGTTGTAGGTTCTGATGTTACCTTGTTGTTTAGACTGATATTTCAGTGACTGCAGTTCATTGTCAAAGATTTTGTCCATGGGATATGATGTTAAGTTAAGATTCTATCTGGCTGTTCTTCAGGTGAGCGTTAAAGATCCCATGGCACTATTTAAAAAAAGAAGAGATAATCTGAATTGCTAATGTCTTTGTTGAAATGATTGTGGAGTCCTGTAGCTCAGTGGTTAGTGCACTCGCTTTGCAAGTGAGAGACCTGAGTTCAATTCCAGGCAGGGCGAAACCTTGGGCAAGTTTCCTTACTCCACACGCCTAATAATAATCCCTCCAAAAAACAAAAACAATAATTAAATTGGTCATTTTCAATCTATGACTGTTTGTGGGACATTGCTGTGCGCAATTGGCTGCCGCGTTCGCCCACAAATATACAGTCAACTCACTTTACAGTATATTCTGTGAAGCGCTTTGGGACGTCCTCCCGACGTGAAAAGCGCTATATCAAATGCAAGGATTATTATTATTATTATTTAAGAACAAAATTACACTTGTATAGCGCCTTTCACATCGAGAAGACCCCCAGTCAGTGGACAGTCAGTGTTTCGGACCCGAGCTGGGGGTTGGGATCAGGGAGGGTAGAGGGCAGGGGGAGAAGGAGGGGGATCGAAGGCACAGTCGAAAAGGAGGGTCTTGAGATGGGTCTTGAAGGAGGCAAGGGAAAGGGCGAGGCAGAGGGACTGCAGGATGGAGTTCCAGAGAGTGGGGGCAGAGTGGCTGAAGGGCCACCCGCCAATGGTGGGGCGGGCAAGGCGGAGGACGTGAAGCAAGCCAGAGGAAGCAGGCACGTTGGCAAGGGTTTAGGGGGACGCAGAAGTAGGCGAGAGCAAGGCTATAGAGGGCTTTGAAGGTGAGGACAAAGATCTTGAACTGTATCCTCTGTGTGATGGGAAGTCAGTGGAGTCGGGCGAGGATAATAATAATAATAATAATCCTTGCATTTGATATAGCGCTTTTCACATCGGGAGGACCTCCCAAAGCACTTCACAGAACACACTGTAAAGTGAATTGACTGTATATTTGTGGGCGAACGCGGCAGCCAATTGCGCACAGCAATGTCCCACAAACAGTCGTAGATTGAAAATGACCAATTTATTATTGTTTTTTTTTTTTTTGGAGGGATTATTATTAGGCGTGTAGAGTAAGGAAACTTGCCCAAGGTTTGGCCCTGCCTGGAATTGAACTCAGGTCTCTCGCTTACAAAGCGAGTGCTCTAACCACTGAGCTACAGGACTCCACAAATGGGGGTGATAGGGTCACGGAGCCTGGTGCAGGAGAGGACACGGGCTGCAGAGTTCTGGATGATCTGCAGCCTGTGCAGGGAGGAGTTGGGGAAGGCTTTAAGAAGGCTTCTTTCACATACAACTTCAATACAAATGACTTCAGCCTCATCCAACACTGGAAAATGAGCTGATCCATCCAGGACGGGATTTGAGCTACGCCTGTAAATTAGGGTAGATTTCGGAAAATAAGCTAGAGATCCCACCCCTAATCATTTTTCAGAGACCCCTGTTGAAAGATGGACGTATGCAGACATTGTGTAAGGACAGGACCAGGCTTGAATAACATTTACTATCTAAACTCATGGGATTTGAATAAGGGACCTGAGACACATGGAATTGTACCTTGGTAGAAGGAAGTCAGTCAAACATCTGTAGGAGAGGAACAGGGAAGAAAGGAACAATGAAGAAAGAAAGAATCTTTCTTGGAACAAGCGATATAAAAACATTTCCTTCACTCAGGGAACAAACTCAAATGGGCTTTGATTGAATGTATGCTTAATCTACAAATGTGGTGCAAAATTATTATCGTCAGTTCCCTCCTTCCTTGATTATAGTTTTAATTGGTGATTTTCTACTTGGGCAAGAAAGTTGAATGTCTGAAATACATCTACAGTCCAAAATGAGACTGGTAGTGACAGCCAAAGTTAGTTTAGCACCATATTTAACGCCCTTAAAAGAATATACTGCTGGGTGCTTATAGCGCAAACCACCAGCAGCAAAAAGAATACTTCAGTGTGAAGCCATACTTCACAGAAATTAGTGGGGTGTGATTATTGTATTTTAGAGAATTTTACTAACTGTTCCTGGTTTACATATGTACTATATACAGTGTATATTTAACTTGAAATATGTTAATAATAATTAATTTACTATCCTCCCCTGAGGGAGGTAAGCGAGTTCTCCTTGGAGCTGACCTGACTTCAAGGTGATGTGCTTGGCAGCAGAATGTTATTTAAATTTACCAGTTAGATAATTGATTTATCCCTTTAACCAACTAAAAAGCAAGTGTTATAAAGTACTTAAGAACCTTGGATACTAATTTTTTGTTGCATTGTAGTATCCCATGGTATTTAAACTTTTAATCTTAAAAAACATTTGTCAATGTGGTGCATACCTGTTTTCTATCAATGTGTGTCAGGACTAGTTCCCTCATTTACTTAGTTCTAGCCAATGACCCAGATACAGCTGACATCCCCGATTAATTGTGGTAAGACATGATGTAATGTACCTAAACTTCCAGAAGGATTTTGATAAAGTACCACATTGAATATCCTTCACAAGCTGATTGCACTGGGTAAGACATGGACTTTATTTGTATTGAAATTGGTCAGACATCAGCTGATATGTATATCTTATCAAGCTCTCTTTGTAACTCCTTTGCTGCCACTTCTGATTCTAGTTTCTCCCAACTCGGTGTCATTTGCAAATGATGCTTGGTGTAATCTGCAAGGATAAGACATAAATTTGAAATTAGTTGAAGGTAAGGAAGTAGAGGGTAGTTGGTAGAGAAACTAAGTCAAAATAGTTATTGCATGTGCTACCTATTTAGCTGATAGTTGACAACCAGATATAGCACAAAAACTGTGCATTGTGTGTTGGTGTAGGTCCTCCTGCCGACAGTGCCCCCTTGTGGCCCTGGAGGACTCATGCCAACATAGTCACCCCGGATATCATCATTGAGCTCTTTTCCCTTGGAGTGCGATATCTCAGGAGTTTACTGTATCATTGACTTGGATTCACAGACCCAGTGAATTCAAAGACCTATTTGCAAATGACATCCAGTTGGGGGAAACTGGAATCAGAAGAGGCAGCAAAGGAGTTACAAATGGATCCTGATAGGACACCAACAACAACAACTTGCATTTATGTAGCACCCTTCAACACAGATGCAAGGTACTACATATAGCTTGTTGGCCTCCCCAACTCCTCCCTCCACAGGCTGCAGATCATCCAGAACTCTGCAGCCCACACTAGGCTCTGCGACCCTATCACCCCCATCCTTGCCCAACTCCACTGGCTTCCCATCACACAGAGGATACATTCAAGATCTTGGACCTCACCTTCAAAGCCCTCCATGGTCTTGCTCCCTCCTACCTCTGTGACCTCCTAAACCCCCACCATCCTGCTCGCTCCCTCTGGCCTGCTTCACATCCTCGCCTCGCTTGCCCCACTATTGGCAGGCAGGCCTTCCGCCACTCTGCCCCCACCCTCTGGAATTCCATTCCGCAGTCCCTCCACCTCGCCCCCTCCCTTGCCTCCTTCAAGACCCATCTCAAGACCCTCCTCTTTGACCGTGCTTTCAATTTCCCTGCTTCCCCCCCTGCCCTCCACCCTCCCCGACCCCAACTCAAATCCATATCTCTGTCTGTCCAGCACCTTGGGTCGTCCTCCAGATGTGAAAGGCGCTTTACAAATGTAATTTTGTTGTTGTTATAGGAAGTGAAAATATAAAGTAAATATACTCCAAGGATGTGGGATAGAATTGCCTGCTCCCAGTTTGTCCCTCCAAGCCCTGCCAAATAGTCCGGCCGGTCTGTCATCAGCAGAGCCCTAGAGGACCTGAGTATTACAGTCCCGCCTGGCTCAAGACTGCTAAAGAGGGTTGACTCAATTCCAACACTCACCGTGGAGGCAGCTCAGCTCCAAGCAAACTGTGTTTACTCCCCCTGGGAGCGTTGAAGTAAAATATAATGCAAGATGGCATAATTACCAGGTCTTTCTCACAGGAATTGTGAATTGACATGCATATTTTACTGTTTACAGTAACAGAACTACTGCCAGCGTTCCCTGTTTTGTTCTTCCTGAATGCTGGATGTTTATTGTTTGGTTTTGTACAATGGACCCTTTATTTTTTGGCATAATTAAAGAGTGACTGGCAGCGAGATACATTAAAATGTATTTCATTTCCAAATGTGCATCTCTAGTGGTATACATCTAACATCTGTAGCCCTTCAGATTCAGAGATATCATTGGCTTTGTAGGTCATGCGTGATTCAGTTACTGTGTGTGAATAAAGTTGATAGTGATCTGTACCTTTGGGAAGACATTTTGGAAGAATTATTGCTGCTGTACAGCTTCTAGTTTGTATTGAGGTGTATTTGGCAGGAAGCCTTGTGATGTAGTGCCCTAGATAGCTTCATAATATAACAGTACAGAGTAATTTGGCTGATTCCTAGCATGTACTGTGTGTTTGTTATTGGCACGAAAATTGAGGGCATTGATGATCTTCATTGCAATCTTAATGGTGCTATTCCTTCAGGTTTGTTGAGCTTGAGTTTTCACAAGCAACTATGACCTGCCCAGACAACTCACTCCATTTTGCTAGGTGCGCTAGCTGCTAAGTCTCTGATGCCCTCTGGGGTCAGAGACCGTCCTTTCCTCTTGGATATATCTGGTAGTGCCATTACACCCATGCTCTCTAGCAGAAACAAACTGTATTATTCACTTCTCACCTCCTACTTGCAATTAATTTTCAGACTCCTCATTAACTCCAGGGTAGATCTGCCATAAAATAGTCACATGTCGCTGGGCCTTCTTGGCTGTGAAGCACAGCACAGATTACTCCTTAAGGTTCTTTGACCATTAAGAAGATAAGTCGACCTTTCCTCCCTTTTTGCTAGTTTTTGAAGTATGCCCTGAGCAAAGCTAAACACAGATGATTTGCCTATTGGTGTGACTTCCTAACATTCCGCCCCTGACAACAACAATAACAAGTTGCATGATATAGCGCCTTTCACATCAGGTGGTCGTCCTCAAGGCGCTGACACAAGTCTACATTTTTACTTATGCAGAAAACGGTCTCCTGGGCAACAATCCCCCAAATAAAATTCACTTCATGGCTGTTTGTGGGACACTGCTGTGCGCAAATTGGCTTCTGCGTCACAAAACACAGTCACTTTACAGTATGTCCTGTGAAGGGATGTCCTCCCATCATGAAAGGCGTTATACCAAATGTCAGGGTGATTAGGAATGTAACAACTCTACTGACTTAAACTAATATCTGCACTAGGTTTATATTTTTATAATTTAGAGAAATAATATTTTGATGTTGCTCTTATGTCATTATGGAAGTTTAATACAATGTATTGCTTGTTGCATTTTAAATTGTATTAACCAATACTGTATCGTGTTACAACAAGAGCTATTTTTGCATTCTATCATTTAGCATTGCAGATGAGTTAATTACTAAATCAGAGCATGAAATGTGCATGCAGCTTTAATTTATTTTATTCAAATTCAGTGCACAGGTCAGCCTCAGTGGCAAGTGACACACGAGCCATAATTAACACTTGAAGGCGCCCCTTACCCCGGTTAAGCATCTGAAGCCTGAAAATTTTCATGGGTTCAATTTAAGACTATTTTTCTTCAAATTTATGTTTTTCTTCAAGGTTTCCCAGGAAATTGTAAGATTCAGTTGTAATTTGGTTGCTAATTTTCTGCAGTTCTTTTAAAAGCGAGTAGAAAGTGCAGGAGAATATTTTTCACTGGAAGTGTGACAAGTGCGTGGAACAAACTACCAGGACAGATGGTAGCAGGAAGATCTATGAAAGATTTCAAGAAGGAACCAGACATGTTCCTGGAAGTTAAAAGGATTCAGGTGCGTTAGATAATGTGATGTGTTGACAGAATCTCTTGGGAAGCTAAATGGGAAGGCTCGTCAGAGTAATGGTACACTCTTGTCTGAAACTGTTACTGTTTTACTCTCATTACCAGAGTGGATATCTCCTCTTCACATTTTACACACTTTCTTTTATTTAATATTTTTAGTAGCAATTTTCTTTTTCAAACATACTTTTTTTGTATGGAATATTACGTAACACTGACATTTTAGCTTTCTGAATTAAAAGCATGAATATAGAAATATCTAAAATCTTTTATTTGGTTCTGCATGGTTGGTTACATGCAGAACACCAGTTCTTATATTGGCAGAGCACCTTCCTGTTTTTAATTACATTTTTCTGTTCAAGGGTATCACCTCCACACAACCTTTAGGAAGGTAAGTGAATAATTTGTGGCCTTGAGTGTAAATCAGTCTTTTCTAGAATATATTGGGCAAAGGGTGAGATTCTAAAATTGAATAAATTAGCACACCAATTCCAGAGTAAAAAAAATGCATTATTATAAAACTTTATATGATTAGGGATCTCAGGGATGTGTTTCGCAGATAATTACTGTCAAGTGTGGTGACTGTACTTGCAAGCAAATGCAGCAGTTACTTTCATCAGATAGCACCAAATATTTCTGAAACAGTTCAGTGATAAGGGGCTCCTCTATTCTCCCCCAATAGAAACCTTTTTGAGGGAACTGGAATAAATGAAGCATTGCATCCCACCTCTTCAATGTATTGTTATACTTGAATCATAGATTCATTTTAGTGGCACACGTTATTCCTGCAAAAGGGTAGCAACATAACAGTAGCTATAAATGTAATACCAAGTCAAAGTGATCCCTACTTGTGGTGATTTGGTGGGACCTTACTCAAAGTTTTTTTTAGACAGTGAATGAATAACCATATTTATATTGGGGCACTGAAATAATAATGAGATAAACTGGATTAGGTGCTGGATGGTAACTGGACTATTAAATAGTCTAGTTGAATGGCTTAGTTGGTAAAAGCGCTACCCAATGTGGAAATAGGACCATACAGGTCAATGTACCAGACTCAATGAGGTCTGTGTACAATTGATGTTAGTCTCCCTGCGGGGAAGAAAATCAGCCACGTTTCCTGTTCTTGATTACTATCCAATGACGTTTACTGGAAAATGTGGTTCTGTGGATGTTGGCAAGGGCGGGTTATGGTCATAAAAAGGAAAACCCACTCAATCTCACAAAATGCCTTTTATTGTGGGGATGGAGTGGGGGGAGGAACATTAGGGCAAACATTAAGATGAAGCGTCTAACATTGTTATCTGAGTTGTGATGCCCCCCAGTGGTCATGTAGCCCATCAACACACAAAAGCTTTTGCGGAGAAGCCCATAGAGCCATATCCCAACAAAGAGATGACTTTCAGAAAAGGAGGAGGGAACTTTGCAGAGGGAACCACAACCAATGGAGCAGCAACTCAGTGCCTGAGTGCATTGTTTTGCCATGAAATGATAACGCAGGATCAATTTGTGTATCCCCCCCACCAGCACTCAGCTGTCTATATAGTGAGATTCTCATTAAAATGTGATTCCGCTGCGTTTTGGAGCACAGATAGATTTCTGTTTCCTGGCCCCACAACAGGACTTTGAACTCATGGCCCAGGCTGACACTCCATTGCAGCACTGCATTGTTGAAGGTGCTGTCCTCTTCAAATTAGATGTTTTTAAGAGAAAACTCCATACAGAGATGAGGGAGAAGGGAATAGAGGGTTATAGGTGAGGGGAACGGGAGAGATGGGGACTTGTGTGGACTATAAACATTGGCATCAGCCTGTTGGGCCAAATGATATGTTTCTGTG